GCATGAGGCCCTGGGTTCAATTCCCAGCATTGAAGACAAAAGAAAAGGTCAAGATACAACCTCCCCTCACCCAAAAAGAATATGTTAGACAGGTGTGGTGGCATCTGTGATCCCAGTGGCTTTGGAGGATGAGGCAGGAGAATTGCAGGTTCAAAGCCAGCCTTAGCAACTTAGTGAGGCCCTAAGAAACTCAGTGAGACTCTGTCTCTAAATAAAATACAAAAACATGCTGGGGATTTTGCTCAGTGGCTAAGCACCCCTGGGTTCAATTCCCAGTACCAAAAATAAGAATATGTTAGCTGAGACATGAGACTGATCAAATTATGTGCATGCAAGAATATGGTATAATGAATCCCAGTATTATGTATAATTTTACTAATAAAAATAAATAAATAGATTCCAATTTTTTACTTGGGAAAAAAAAGCAATGTATTAGCTTATCAACAACCGCAGAGTAAATCTGTAAATCTGATGGCTGGCATCATAAGTGTATCTGGTGGGTACAAATAATCATTTTCTAGAAACCCATTGTTTTGTCATACAAAACATTTCATTAGGTACTATCAGAGCTTGAATAAAATTTCCCAGTAAAATCTCTCCATTCTGGTCCAACGGTGTCATTCAGTGGTGGAGTAATTGCCTAGCTCACGTGAGGCTCTGGGTTTGATCCACAGCACAGGGATCTCCCAAATCCTTTAAAGAAACAAGTGTTTCGGTACACAAAGATATTTGTTAGATCGAAGGAAGGTCACCACAGTGTAAAAGTAAAGTGTAAAGCTTGAAATTACTACAGAGAATTAAATAAATTATAATATAAATTATAATAATTTTGTATAGATTTTTATGTAGCCATTAAGAGATCCTGCAGAAATATATTTACTCACAAGTGGCTTTCTGAGGTAATAGCATGCAGTCAGAGTGGTCTGTCAGAGATTCCACCACTGGTATGGTCTGGCCAAAAGCACAGAAGGCAATGGTGCAGCACATCAACCTCTTCTTCAGATGCTTGCAAAATAGGTGCCAATTTCAGGGGTGGTTCTATGAGCAAATGAATATAATGATGAGGGCTGTATCATTGGTTATGATGAGTACATGAGCTTTGTATCAGATGATGCAGAACAGATTTATTTTAAAACAGTCAAGAAAACAACTGGGTTGGATCATGCTAAAAGAAGATAATATTAGGCTGGGTACAGTGGCACCTGCCTGTAATCCCTGCAGCTTGGGAGGCTAAGACAGGAGGATCTCAGATTCAAAGCCAGCCTCAGTAAAAGCAAGGTGCTAAGCAACTCAGTGAGACCCTGTCTCTAAAATAAAATACCAAATAGGTCTGGGGATGTGGCTCAGTGGTCAAGTGTCATGAATTCAATCCCCAGTACCCCCCCTCAAAAAAAGAGACAATATTATTTTGTCACAAAGTGTCTCCAACTAGAAATGATAACTGAAAGGCTGGGACTGTAGCTCAGTGGTAGAGCATCCGCCTCACACATGTGAGGCACTGGGTTTGATCCTCAGTACCACATAAAAATAAAGATATTGTGTCCAACTACAACTAAATATATATATATGGGGGAAACATTTTTTTCATATTGTTTTTGTTACCTTTTTGTTATTATCAGATGACAATGCTATGGGGTTGTTTTTATTTTAAAAAGTTCTGGGCCAGGACAGTGGCACATTCCTAAACTCAGGAGGCTGAGACAAGACTATCACAAGTTGAAGGCTAGCCTTAGAAACTTAGCAAGACCCTGTCTTAATAAAAAGTAAAAAGAGTCTGGGATGTAGCTCAGTGATGCGTCCCTTGCCTAGGATACAATAGGTCTGGGGTTCAATCCCCAGTACCACACACATATACAAATAAAGGCTGGGGATATAGCTCAGGAATAGAGTGCTTACTTATCATGTGCGAGGCCCTGGTTTTGATCTCTAGCACTGCACGCGCGCGCATGCATACACACACGTTTATATTTAGTTACACAGAAAAGTATTCTATATAAATAAATTATAAAATTATATTGGGGAGGTGGCTGGGGTTGTGGCTAAGTGGTAGAGGGTACACCCGCCTTGCATGTGTGAGGCACTGGGTTTGATCCTCAGCATCACATAAAAAAAAAAGGTATTATGTCCATCTATAACAACAAAAAAAATTTTAAAAATTAAATAACATTATATGTAATCCTTTTTCTTCGCAGTATTGGAAATTGAACTCAGGAGTGCTCTATCAGTGAACTACATCCCCAGCACTTTTTGTTTTGAGACTGGGTCTCAATCAATTCCTGAGCCTGGCCTGGAACTTGGGATCCTCCTGCCTCAGCCTCTTGAGTTGCTGGGATTACAGTTGTGTATTACCATGCCCAGCTGTGATCCCGGTTTTATCATGTATATGTATGATTTTTTAATATAATTTAATCTTTTTTAAAAAAAATATTAATTTTTTTAGTTGTATTCGGACTCAATATCTTTATTTATTTTTATGTGGTACTGAGGATCGAACCCAGGGCTTTCCACATGGTGGGCGAACGTTCTACCACTGAGCCATAACCCCAGCCCTAATGTAATTTAATCTTTAAATTTTTTTTTTTTTTAGTTGTAGGTGGACATATTTATTTGTTTGGGTACTGGGGAATTGAACTCAGGGGCATTCAACTACAGAGCCACATCACCAGCCTTTTTTGTATTTTGTTTAGAGACAGGGTCTCATTGAGTTGCTTAGAGCCTCGTTTTTTGCTGAGACTGGCTTTGAACTGGTGATCCTCCTCCCTCAGCCTCTTGAGCCTCTGGGATTACAGGCATGCACCATTGTGCTCATTTATTTATTTTATTTTAATGTAGTGCTGAGAGTCAAACCCAGTGCCTCACACATGGCAGGCAAGTGCTCAACCACTGAGCTACAACTTCAGCCCCAAATGTATGATATTTAAGGGGATATATAATAAATATTATCAGTGCTTATCTAATTCTCCCACAATTATATGTACATAAATTAGGGGGAAATGATCATTGCATCCTTTTTGCCTTGATATTAGCCTCTTCAAGGACCCCATTTTTTGGTACAGGGGATTGAAATAGGGGCTTTCACATGCTAGGCAAGTGCTCTACTAATGAGCACCATACCCAGCCAATCCCCCTTGTTTTTAGACCGGGTCCCCCTGAGTTGCCCAAGCTGGCATCAAATTTGCCATCTTCCTGCCTCAGCCTCTTGAGTAGTGGGGATGAGGAGACATGTCCTGCAATGATTGGCTGAGACTAGATTTTTCAAAAAAATTTTTTCTCAAGGATATCTCTTAAGAAGATATAGGAACAAAACTGTGTCCAGAAAAACAATTGAAAATGTATATTGAAGGCAGATTTGAAAGGATTTTTTTTTTCATACACATACAAAAAAGAGGAGGCATGAAAGAGAAACCAATGTACCTGATTGGTTTTACTTTTTTCTTTTCTTTTTTTTTTTTTTAAAGCAATATGACGGTCTCCCCTCACTGACTTCTTTGCAGAGTCTGGAGCCTTTTCCTTTGTTCTCACTCACTGAGGGGTGAGATACATACCTCACCAGCTCACAGCAATTATCCTGATAGCTTTAGGATCGAGTTTTCTGGATATCTCAAAATTGAGCAAAGGGCACATGATAATGAATACCAATATGTTCCTGGAAAGATATCCTTCTGTGATAAACTAATAGTCTCCTGATTTAAAAATGTTTTCTTGGCCAGGTATGATGGGTGGTACAGGCCTGTAATCCCAGCAACGAAGACTGAGGCAGGGGGATGACAAGTTGGAGGCACCTTAGCAAGACCCAGACTCAAAATGAAAAATAAAAGGGCTGGGGATGTAGTTCAGTGGTAGAGCACCACTGGGGTTTAATCCTCAGTAACACGCACAAACACACACAATTTTCTGAACATTTACCTGGCATGACTAATCTGTAATAAGTGGATAAAATTCCTTTAACTATCTTTGTAAATATCCTAGGTTTGGGAAAGAGAGGAGAGGGTCTTTCCTTAAAAGCGTCCAAAGTCTAGGGTTGAGGACATGACTCAGTTGGTAGAGTGCTTCCCTGGCATGTACCAGGCCCTGGGTTTAATCCCCAGCACCACAAAAAAAAAAAAAAAAAAAAAAGAGGCCAAAATCTAGCTGGGGGAGATGGAAATATAAATAAAAAGTGTAAAATAACAAGAGAAAGATCATAATAGGTTTACTCACAAACTGACATGTTTTAGGGATGCATGGAAATTTGTCACCATCCAAGAGACAGGGGAGCATTCCAGAAGAAAAAAATTGTGTGTCACAACTTGAACTCACTGAGCAGGAAGATCAGTTCCTGGCATTGAAAAACGGAGACCAGACCTTGTACAGAAAGTACCTCAAAGTACCACTGTCAGCTACAGCTAGTGAACATCTCCACAGGTTACCAYAGTGAATGCTTGTCCAAGAAGCAAGATCAGGGACTCAAACAAGAGACATTTGTCCAAAATTATCAGAGATCTCTAATACTTTTGTGTTTAAGCCTTAAACAATAAGGGAACTGAAATCCTGTTTCAGCCAAAAGCCTCACTTTCCTCACAACACTGCAAGTGTTGCCTTTTGCTGAACCGATTACTCAACCTCTCGAGAGCTAATAATTTATGCAGCCCGGATCTCGGCGAGAGAAAAGAGAACCAATAATGGCAGGCAAAGCAGAGGCCTAGTGGGTCCCGCTGCGGTCTCCAATTTCTTCTGAGTTTCACATTTTCTTTAGATGATCATCAATCTAAATGGTCCTCATACCTACTCCTTGTGTTCGCCCTTTCCCTCCTTCTCTCGCTCTACCAGTTTCTCCAGTTTTCAGGAACCAGAGAGTTAGTAGCTGACCAGGTCCTCCCGAGGCCAGCCTTTCCCCCCGACGCCCCAGCCGCAGCCGCAGCCCCGCCTTCCCCAGCCCCCGCGGCCTCAGCCGCAGGAGCTGAGCGGAGGGGCGGAGCGGCTGCGGGCGGGGCGGCGGCGCAGGCGCAGTGGCACTGGGCTCGCCGCGCTGAACTGCAGCTATGGAGCAGGCACCGCCGGACCCCGAGAGGCAGCTCAAGCCTGCGACCCTGGAGCCGCTGGGTCGTCCCGACGCTGGGCTGGAGGCTGTGGCCGGTGAGGAAGCCGAAAGGGCCCGGGAAGAAGGCTCTGAAGCTGACACGGTGAGGAGAAGGGGCGGCGGAGGCCTCGAGGCCTGTGTCCGGGCCTAGTGGGCTAGGCTGGGTTGTGCGGGTGGGCTCGGCCTGGGAGGCCCCGGGGTCGCGGGGAATGGCTGGGCAGCAGAGGCCGCAGGTGCAGCACTGGGTGTGTTGAGGGGTGGCTCTTCGTGGAAAGCAGGGGCTGTGGGTGGCGAGCGAACGTCAAGAGCACGGCGACCGACGGGAGGGCTTCGGAGGCGCGGGCTGTGGGGCTGTGGGTGCGGGGACCTGTCCTGCCGGCGAGGCTGGAGGAGCGGCAGCTTTCAGTGGTCGCTACACCTGATGTCTGGTCCAGAAAGTGCAGCGCTGATTTGCATGCAGTCTGACAAGGGTTTTGCTGGGAAGATGGCTATTTAATGGGGGCACTGTGAGCGATGGACAGCGGTATTCGAGAAGGAAGGGAACGCCAAACTAGGGTGAGCAGCAAGTCGGAGCAATAAAGAGGGGTTGGCTGGGTGCAAACTGAAGAAAGTGCAAGGTTCTAGGTAAGGTGCAGATGAAATATTTTTTGAACTACTTGTTCGGCTCTAATTTCTTTACTTGGGGTAAGGTGTCATTTTCTATGGGAGACTTAAATGAATCCCTTTGGATAATTAGTGATTTTCACTTGTGTGAAAATGTATCATCTTATATTTGTAAGTGATTTCATTCAAAAGTGTCTATACTTGTAATGCAAGGTTTGTAGACCACGTTAAATAGAAGGACTTTAGCAATTCAGTACAGTGCTTCATGTTAGASCTTCCTGCCCAGTCTCCTTCAGTGTGCACGGCTCATCCAGTCATTTTGTTTCTTCTCACCCCCTCACCCCAACAGGTGTTAGTGCTAATATGAAACTGCCTGTTCTTAAGATTAATGGATAAGGAAAAGTCAAAAGTTGTTTGCTAAATGTAACTAGGAAGACTCTTAACTTCAAGTTTAGAGATCAGGTAATTAGAGTCTTAAGTACAGGAGTTGAAGGTTTTGCCTGCTTAAGAAAATAACAAGCCATAGTAGCATGAAGACTTTTTTTCAATGTACTTTTAAGTTATAAAAATTAATTTTTTAAAGAACAGTTTTAGGTTCACAACAAAGTGGAGAGGGAGATGCAGAGATTTCCCAGTACTCCCTATCCTCACATATAGCCTGGTGCATTGTGAACACCTTCCATCAGAGGGTACACATTAACATTGATCATCATCACCCAGTCCATGTTTTTAACAGGGTTCAATGTTCATGCTGAGCATTCTATGGGTTTCAAAAAATGTCATGATGACACATATCCACCATTATAGTATCATACAAACTATTTTCACTGTCGTGAACAGTTTTTCTATCCTACCTGGTCTTTCCTTTCTCCCCACCCTATTCCTGTTCGGTGACAACCATTTATTTATTCATTTTTTTTTACTGTTTCTATAATTTTTGCCTTTTCCAGAACGCCCTGTCTTTGTAATCATACAGTACGTAGTCTCTCTGAGACTTCTTTCATACAGTAGTATGAAAGACTGGCTTCTTTCATACAATAGTTTGCTTTTAAGGTTCCTTCATGTCTTTTCATTGTTTGATAGCTCATTTCTTTTTAGCTCCAAATAATATTCTGTTGTTCAGATATACCACAGTTTATCCGTCTGTTTATTGAAGGATATCTTGGGACCTTCCAAGTTTGGGCATTTATGAATAAAGCTACTATAAGTACGTACATGTGCAGGTTTTGGTGTGGCATTTTCAACTTTGTTGGGTAAATAAATACCTAGGTGTACCATTGCTGGATCATAGGTAAGAATGTAGCCAGGTGCTCATGCCTCTAGACCCAGCTACTTGGGAGGTTGAGGCAGGAGGATCCTAAGTTGAGACCAACTCAGCAACTTAGTGAGACTCTGTCTCAAAATGAAACATAATGGCTGGGATTGTAGATCAGTGGTAGAGCACTTGTCTAGCATGTGTGAGGCACATGGTTTGATTCTCAGCATTGCATATAAATAAATAAAATAAAGGTCCATGAACAAGTTWAAAAAATATGTACATATATATAAAACAAAAACAGTTTAAAAAAATAAAATATAAAAAAGGTTGGGAATGTAACTCAGTGGTAAAGTGCCTCTGGGTTCAGTCCTCAGCAGGCCATCCCCCCCAACAAAAAGATAAGAATTTTTTTATAAGAAAAAAATTACAAACTGTCTTCCAAAGTGCCTGTACCAATTTGTTCTCCCACCAGCAATTAATGAGAGTTCTTCTTGCTACACATCCTTGCTAGCATTTGATATTGTCCGTGTTCTAGATTTAGAACATTTTAATGTGTATATAGTAGTACCTCTTTGTTTTTTTAAATATTTATTTCTTTTAGTTGTACACAATGCCTTTATTTTTATTTATTTATTTTATGTGGTGCTGAGAATCAAACCCAGGAACTTGCATGCACCACCAGGCAAGCACTCTACCGCTGAGCCAGAACCCCAGCCCCTTACTTCTTTGTTTTAATTTGCATTTCTCATGACAGATGATGGCCAGCATCTTTTCAAATGCTTATTTGCCATCTGTATGACTTATTTGGTGAGATGTCTATTAAGATTGTTTATCCTTTTAGTTTTTGGTGATGAAACCCAGAATGAAGTGTGCCCTTCGTTTTAATTACGTTGTTTTATTATGGTTGAATTGGTTTTTGTTTGTTTTGTTCTTAATGTTTTTGTGTATATGGTACTGGGGATTGAACCAAGGGCCTTGAGCATTCTAGGCAGGCTCTCTACCATGAGCTACATCCCCAACCCTTCTTATTGAGTTTTGTTTAGTTTAGTTTTGTTTTGTTTGGGGGGGGGGGGGGGGGAGAGGGAGAGAGAGAGAATTTCAGTATTTATTTTTCAGTTTTCGGCAGACACAACATCTTTGTTTGTATGTGGTGCTGAGGGTCGAACCCGGGCTGCACGCATGCCAGGCGAGCGCGCTACTGCTTGAGCCACATCCCCAGCCCAATTGAGTTTTAATATTAAGTTTACATTTTATCTTCTCCTAAGATAAAATAATAATTTTAGAATTATTTGTGGAGTAGTCAGGATCTCATTTAAATATGAGAAAAGTGTGTGTATTSTGTAATGCTTAAATAATTAGTAGTAATTTTTAAATAATTTTTGTGCAGGTTCTCACCTGTGACTTAATTTTTCTATTTTTGTTCAATCATTTTTATTGTGAAGTATATTAGTAATGCAAACCAGCTTTCATAAAACAATTCTTYTGAAGTCCCCACATGCTCTCCTGGATTACCATCATAGAGGTAACCAGTATTCTGAATCTTGTATTAATAATTTTTTTTTTTAAAGAGAGAGTGAGAGAGGAGAGAGAGAATTTTTAATATTTATTTTTTAGTTCTCGGCGGACACAACATCTTTGTTGGTATGTGGTGCTGAGGATCAAACCCGGGCCACACGCATGCCAGGCGAGCGMGCTACCGCTTGAGCCACATCYCCAGCCCTTTTATTAATAATTCTTTTGCGTTCCTTATAATGTTACCATATTTTTCTCTAAACAGTGCATTGTTTAGTTTTACCAGATTTTAAATTTTATATAAACAGAACATTTTTTTCAATGGCATCCTTTCTTTGAGGATTCCTCTAAAATGTGGCTTACTTTGTTTATGTTTGTGGCTCTGTAGTATGCCATTTTATAGGTGTTCCACAGTTAATTTATCTCTTCTTATGGACATTGGAATAATGAAATTTTTGGTATTTTAAAAAGTTACTAGTACCATGAACTTCCTCCTATATATCGTTTATTGTATTATATCCAAAAGTCTAGTATAAATTTAGGAGTGGAATTGCAGGATTGATTGATTGTAGGGTAAGATGCTCAACCCTAGCAGGTAGTACCAGATTGTTTTCCAAAGTGCTTGTACAGTTTATACTCCTGTTAGTAGTGCCTGATATCTTTACCAGTGCTTAGTATTTTGAGACTGGGGATTGAACCAAGGGCCTTGAGCATTCTAGGCAGGTTCTCTACCACTTGGCTACATCCCCAACCCTTCTTATTTTATTGAGTTTTAATATTAAGTTTACATTGTATCTTCTCCTGAGATAAAATAATAATTTTAGAATTATTTGTGGGGTAGTCAGGATCTCATTTAAATATGAGAAAAACTATAAAATAGTTTTTCAATCTTGTGGTTATTTCTCTCTTTCTGTCTCTGCCTCTATTTTTATGATGCTGGGGATCAAACCCCCTCATTTAGCCCTATGCCTCTTGCTGTATCATGGACACTTAAATTTTGATTATGACAAATTTTTATTAATCATTTTATAAGAAGTTGTCAATATTTAACATAAAATCATAGTATAGAACATAAAGACTATCTGGGTTAACTAAGAAGTGATTATTGGGCTGGGGCTGTGGGACAGTGGGTCAGTGGTAGAGCACTTGCCTAGCATGTATAAGGCACTGTGTTYGATTCTCAACACCACGTATAAATAAATAAATAAAGTCCATTGACAACTAAGAAAATGTTTTTTAAAAAAGAAGTGATTATGTCACTAGAGAAGGGATCTGAGGAGGTCCTCAAGAAGGGAGAAGGGGGACCYCAACTCACTCACTCCTGACAGATGATGATAATGATGATTTTGGTACCAGGGATTGAACTCAGGGGCACTTAACTATTGAGCCACATTGCCAGCCTTTTTTGTATTTTATTTAGAGACAGGATCTCACTGAGTTGCTTAGGGCTTTGCTAAGTTGCTGAGACTGGTTTTGAACTCACAATCTGCCTGSTTTAGCCTCTGAGTGGCTGGGATAACGGGTGTACACTTCTGCTCCTGGCCCCTTTTAGATTCTTTTTTTTTTTTTGAGAGAGAATTTTAATATTTATTTTTTAGTTTTTGGCAGACACAACATCCTTGTTTGTATGTGGTGCTGAGGATCGAACCCGGGCCGCACGCATGCCAGGCGAGCGCGCTACCGCTTGAGCCACATCCCCAGCCCCCCTTTTAGATTCTTGACCTATACTA